GTCACTTGGCGCAGAAGTCCAGGAGCCGACCTTGTCCGTGAATACAGAGGCAAAGAACGCATTGAGTACTTCAGCTTTCCCCACATCATCTGTCACTAGGTTACCTCTTTCATCCATTAGGGGCCGCACACCCTCTCTGATCACCTTCTTCTTGTTAACATGCCTGTAGAAACCTTTCTTGTTATCCTTCACATCCTTAGCCAGTCGCAATTCCATTTGCGCTTTTGCCTTCCTGATAACCCCCCGGCATTCTCGAGCTATACCTTTAAACTCCTCCCTGGTCATTTGTCCAAGTTTCCACTCTTTGTAAGCTTCCTTTTTGTGCTTAAGTTCACCAAGGATTTCCCCTGCAAGCCAGACCGGTCTCCTACCATGTTTGCCTCTCTTGCTACGCGTCGGGATGGTTTCTTTCTGTGCCTTCAATAAGGCTTCTTTAAAATACTGCCAGCTGTCCTGGACTCCTTTCCCCTTCATGTTAACATGAATGACAAACTGCTGCCCATTGTGATCTGTCTGTGGTGGCGCCGCATGCAATACAGCACCTGGAGAATACACAGATATCCCAAATCTGTTAATACTCCCGTGTCCTTATTTTGAAACTCTAGCAGATGAGTACACTGCCTCATTCATTTCCTCTTATTGCCCGAGGAGGTTAAAATGTCACAGCGACCGATGTTAATGGAGACAGTGAAAGGTCAGCCAGAGATGTCATAGGAGAGCGCTCTCAGTTGAATCCCGTCTGTTGTTCAGACTGGTTTGATTTACAATCTTTCCAAGACGACAAGTCTAGGGGGAAACTTCTAAGGAGGAAATACAAAGCACTTAAACGTGCTGAGGATGGGACAGGTTAAGGGATTTAAAATTATTATTATTTATATTGCACTGGGTCCAAAAGGTCCCCATCAGGATCTGGGGACCCACTGTGTAAGTCCCAGGAGGACCTGGGCTTGGTCCCCATCGCTACGTCCACACTGCGGGTGTTTTGCAGAAGAGGAAATGCAAATGGAATGCTCATTTGCATATCTCGTGCTCTCATTTGCATATCTTCTTCCCATCCTTTTTGCGGAAGAGGTTTTTGCGATAAAAAGCCCTGTGTAGACGGGGCCATTTGATGCAAAAAAAAACCCATTTGCACAAGCGCCTGTAAACCTCATTTTTTGAGGAATAAGGACTCTTGCGCAAAAGGGCTTTTTTGTGACAAATGGCCACTTCTACACAGGGCTTTTTATCGCAAAAACCTCTTCCGCAAAAAGGATGGGAAGAAGATATGCAAATGAGAGATGCAAACGAGCACTCCATTCGCATTTCCTCTTCTGCAAAACCCCCCGAGTGTAGATGTAGCCCGTAGTTCTGTGCAAAAAGGTGTCTGAAGTTGAGGAAACAGAGAGAAAGCCCAGTGGTCACATCACAGTAGTGCCTTCCCTTAGCCTCACCTTACGGCTTTAACGGCTACCCCAAGCTAGGCAACCTGAATGACTGAGGCTGGCACCTCTACTCCATTATCTCTTACGTTAGGATCTTCAGCAAGGGTTTTATATCTCAGCCTTGCAATAAAGTTCTCCTGTCACATAGACCTATAATGAGCATCTATGTGACAGGAGAACTTTAACGCAATATAACCTCCATACCCATAGTCATGGCCACCCACATTGCCATCCCCCCTAGACCTGCTGCTTGCTCTGGTTATTAGTGCAAGTTGTCTACAGAGTTTGCATGTGGATTACACCTTCAGTGACTCGCAAAATACAATAGTATTTGACTGCCACAGCAATCAGACCAATGCTATTTTTCCTTTTTACAGAAACTCTCCATCTGCACGATACCTAATACTGCTAGTGCGAAGGAAAAGAGACATTTGCTCACCCATTACAATTGAGCACCTCTGCCACCCAGCCCTCTGCCTCTTCCCAGGACCAGTCTGGCAGCTCCCAGGGGCCTGCCTAGGTCCGCAAGAGGCGGGCGCCCGCCTGGTCTAGTGCAGCGATCGTGGACCTCATCGAGGTTTGGGGGGAGACCTCCAAAATCTACAATCTCTGCACTAGGCACAGGAAAGCGGCCGTCTAGGGCAGGACAGCTGCCAGCCTCACCACCAAAGGCCACATGCAAACCCAGGAGAAGGTTTCCATGAAAATCAAGTTGGTTCAGTGAGACCCCCAACCCTGAGCCCTGAGCTAAGAATATAAGAACGGCCATACTGGGTCAGACCAAAGGTCCATCTAGCCCAGTAGCCTGTCTGCCGACAGTGGACAACACCAGATACCCCGGAGGGGATGGACCAAAGACAATGATCAAGTGATTTGTCTCCTGCCATCCATCTCCAGCCTTCCAAAAACAGAGGCCAGAGACACCATTCCTAACCTCCTGGCTATTAGCACTCCATGG